CTTTTTTTCTTTTTTTGTTTGGTTTGGGTGTTTGCTAATCCATATCGTCCTGGTCAGAACCAGGAGTGTATGGGTTGGCAGGCTCGGCTGTTGTCCCTGCCTCCTGGTCTCCGCAAGCAGGCTTGCCTGCTGGCCTGGGAGGGTCGGAGCTGCGGGGTGCCGGTCCACGACCTCGGCCGGGTCCTGGCGAAGGGGTGGCAGATGTACGAGGGAGAGACTGTCCCCCTTCCTTCTGCTCTGTCTTGTCTTGTGTTGAAGAGGCTGCATGAGACCCGTGCAGCTCCTTGGTTGGAAGCGGTCTCTCAAGGGAGTGAGCTCGAGAGGCTCGCTTTTTCTCCTTTTGGAGATCCTTGACAGGCACAGCAGACGCCGTCCTATCCTGGGATGAAGAGCCAATCTGAGGGCTCTCCCCACTAACGGGGAGAGGCTGCTGCCCTTGGGGTGGGTTTGGGGCCCTGAGGGCAGCAGCAGAGGTCTCGGGTGAGACCACGATGGCCTTCAATTCCATCCGTGGCGCAGGGCCTCTGCGCGCCACGTCGGCGCAAGTACCTTGGACAAGGAACGACTAGCGTTTTTTAGCCTCTAGGTAGGACAGGTTCTCTTTGACTTTGAGAGACAGAATATTTTTGCCCTGAATCCACAAGCGACACACACGGGAGTAAGCCGCGCGTGCGACCTTGCAACTTGAAGAGCATAACGCGTTCTCGCAAATGTCTGTGACATGTTCATTGCTGCCGCACTTGGCACTTATGTCTTTTCCCCCAAAGTTCCGTGGCCCATGCCCAGGCCGCTGGCACTTAAAGGGGCACTGACACCCCAAAGGTCGTATTTATTTTTATTGTCTAAAACGATGCAAGTTGCAGTCATAGACACGCAAAAAAAACCGCATCGCGAAAAAAAATTTTCCCGCGCGCGCGCGCGCCTTTTTATTTTTGGCGTTTGATTTTCCCGCGTCTCGCCTCCTCGCTTCTTTTGATCGGTGACGTCAAAAATCAGGAAATTTAGAAGCTTTGTAGGCGACATCTATATAACATTTAATTACGGCAATCCTAAAAGATGTTTTTTAATGCAATTGCGAACGCACTACGGCCCTTCTTTTTGAAATACCAAAAATCGGGAGTTCGTTGTGGTGCCGTCTCCTGGATTTGTATCCTCCAACGGAAAACAGGCGACACCGCTCAAAACCGGTCCGCCGCAACGCCGGGCGCTCGCTCCTTTCCTCCTCGCTTTGGGTCGCCATGGCAACAGCAGGGAGTGGTGAAAGGAAGTCGACTCTCAGGTCTCCGCGATTTTTGACGTCAAGGCACCGGCGCCGATCGCGCGGGAACTTCGAATTCGGCATTTGGAAATTGTTTTTTTACTTCACGAATACTGAATTCCCAAATCTCAAATTTTGAGGGTAATGTCCCGGCATCGTTTTCAATCGTTTCGGATAATAAAAAAAAATATGATTTTGATGTGTCAGTGCCCCTTTAAAGCACATTTGAGGTTTAGAAACATACCAGCGGACGCGACAGTTAAGGTAGCCGGCTTTGACTGTCGCTGGAAGGCTGCGAAGCTCAAAGGTGAGAATGAGATGTTTAGAAGGAATGTCCCGACCATCACGCCGAAAAACAATTCGTTTTACAGCAGTGACGCTCGAGCTTTGCAGGCCTTCAAGGATATTTGTCTCATTTGCATCAATCTTCTTCTGATGTATTTCCATGGACGGTGACACTGGTTTCGAGAATTTATTTAATTCTGTGCTTTGTGCCTTTGTAGGGATTTCTACAAGGAGGTCTCCTGAGTGCCACTTTTTAGCCTGGTAGGAATGTCCCATAATGTGCTCAAGGACCTTAGCAACGACAAACGGTGACAGTTTTGCGGCAGGTTTTTGGTCGTTCTCAGAGTGGACAACGAAACATTTCGCAAACTTTTCAATTTCTGGTGCTTTGACAATGACTTGTTAGTCTTGCCAGCGCCGCTTAGGGGGCTGCCTAGGGCCGGGTTTTGAAAGAGGGGCGACCATAGAGGCAAAGAATGTTCGGAATTTGTGATGCGCCGCCCACCACGGAGCCTAGCGCGGGAATAGGTAACGCTCCTTAAGAAAAATGGCTTTGCTGGAAGCGTTGCACAGTTAACGCTACCCAGAAACTATAACCAAGTGTGGATCTGGACGACGGTATCTGTCACCACCCAAGGTTAGCCCTTGCCACCAAAGAGGGTGAAAGAGGAAAAAAAAGTAGAAAGAGGCAAAAGGCAAAGGTAGGAGAGGAAAAGAAAGGCGACTGACTGAATCATCCCGGTCGGTCCAAGCCAGGACACCCGGGAAGCGGGGCCGAAATGGCGAATTGCCTCCCCCGGTGGGCCCCGAAGCGTCCAAACGTGCCCCGGGTTCGTCTCAACCACCAGAATGCAGTTTTTCCCGGACACGGGAAAGCCACGCACAGCCAGATGTGGGTGGGCGGACCCATATTGCCCAGGGTGCGTGGTGCCACCCACAAAACAGCTGCTTTCCAGGTGCCCCTGCAGGAATTTCCGATGCACGTATTGGGACTTGCGACTTGAGGCCCGGCGTTAACACCATCGTGAGCGAGAGAAACATCGTGTGCGGGAAGAAAGCTATAATCAACCTCCTGTTCGTTTACTCGATGCTGGGGGCCTATTTTCTTGCCACTCCAGGGTCAGCTCAAAGACAAAGTTGGCAGATGAGCCTTCATATGCGTCAGTATCGCGTCGTGTTTTCTTGCCGACTCTGTGGCATTATATGCTGGACAAGTGGCCAAATTCGCCATGGCTCCCATGTTTCTGGTGGTATCTTTCAGCACTCTTAAGTTGATCCTTGTCATTTTGTTGTTTGAAAGTCTCGGAGAGGGCCCTGGAGAAGTTTACCGCTGCTTCGTTGAGACGTACTCCGTTGTGAGAAATCTAGCCCCTTCAGTCCCGGAGAACCTCGAACTAGACTGGAACACAGTGTGTATTGTAACGATAGACCCAGCAGTTGTACTCATGGCTATACTTTACACTGCGGAAGAGTCTATCCATTGGTTGCTGAGCGTGTTCGACAGAAAGTGAGTGAAGAGAGTAACCATTAGGGTTTCACAAATCAACAATGTTGATATGAACATCGATACCAGGGGCGCTTGATCCCATTTGACACAATGTATTCTAATAGATACTTAATGGTATTCTGCGACCTTTTGACAATACAATTCTTTGATTCCTACGCTCGTGCTTTTGTGGATGTGGTTCAGCTTGCTCCTCTCTACTGCTTGAACATGCTAGGCCAGAGAAGCATGGGAATTCGATTTGATCTGCTTGAATCTCTCCCTCACCTTTTCAGTGCATCCCCTTCCATCATTCTTCTGAGCGACTGTCCGCGCCAAGGCTGCACTTTCGCTGGAGCTTCTCGTCAGCTGCGGCCTGATGTGTGTGCTGGCCACGTCAGTTGCCATCGCGCAACATGAACTGGACCATAATAAATGTCACCTTCTCTTCAATCTTTACCGATTTTATGCTTGTACTTTTCTGCGGTCTGGAGCTGTAACCTACCAGTGTTCGGGGCACCGGAATCGGTGGTCTTAACTTCTGCGGAAAGATCGGTGCTACGTTGTCGCCGCTTTTGGTGGAACTGTCAAACCGAACGCACCCACTGCGCCCACTCTAGTAGTCCTCGCCATCACGACACTCTCCTCGATCCTGGTTGTTTATGCCGAAAACGAGGCACCAACTGTAGCTTGACATACTCGAAGACCTAGCACGCGAAAAATTTCTGAATCCTAAAAAGTCTGAAGGTGTCCAATAGGTGCTTTAAACTCTGCAATGCGGCATTGTTTACGGTTTTTAAAATAGTTACTTTAAAATATCACTTAAATGGCTAATTTTATTCACCAAATTTATGCAAACATTTATAGTCCCTCCAGGATATGTTTTTTTCTTATTTTTGAAGATGCAGTAATTTTGAATTTTCAGTTCTCATACTCACTACACATACGTTTTATATAAGGGCTCTTTCGTTAAAGGTTGTCTTTATTATAGCACTTTATGAACCATTTTCATAGTCTCTAATTTGATAAACATGCGTTAAGATATCTGAATCACAAGTATCTGTATAGTTTGTTAAGAAAGAACATTATGCTCAACAAAAGTTAAACACAGATTGTGACATGCTACAAACTCACTGAACGTCTCGACATGCGAACTGTTGATGCCAGGCTTAGCAATTATCTTTTCCCAACCACATAATTCTGTTTTAAATTGTAAGCATTTGTCATCTCATTTTTGACTTTGTCCACAAATCTCATTCTTGAGCGTTCTTGTCACGGGCGTTCCTGTCAAGGGCACTCTCAACACTAAACGCCGCATTCTAGGTATGAAACACGTGACAATTTGTAACACACAGAAAGAACACTTCATCGTTTTTTTTTTGTTTTTTTTTGCCGCTGATTACATATGGCTAAACAGCGGTAGTGTCGTAAGGGCATCTGATTATCCACGCCTGGATAAACGCACCTGCCAAGATCTTTACGGTTCAGTATCATAAATTATGGTTCACCATAACCCACTGGCTCGTCTCGCAAGCACGGGTCGTCCGATTGATGCTATGGTGCGTGTGAATTCCTTTTTTAGAATATCCCCGGTTTATGGCTACTAGTCCTGGTGAGTGCCTATTTACGAGGGTACAGTTGCTGGAATAATTGTCAAGTGATTCGCGTTTTTGGTATTCAGCTGTGGAAACGCTTACCTCTCTTGTGATTGTTAACTGTGAGTCGTTTAATGTCATTATTCCTCTCTTTATCCTGTTATTCCCTTATGACGGGAGCGTGTGACATTGTTAGCTCCCCATTCAGTGACCTCTGCTCCTAGTGCCTGTTTATAGTTCTCATTGTAAAATAACCGCTTACGGATACTCGGCAGAGCATTGTACCACCAGTTCACGAAGAAATAGCCACTTTTTTTTTCCGGAGAACCTGGCATAGGGCTCCAGAAAGTCACAGAAGCGTAGACATCGCTTCCGTGAGCTACTTCGTCCGTGGGGCGCTTTCGTGTTGCAATACCAAAGGCGCAGTTACGCAAAACTTAGCTCGCTTCTTCCTCCACTTGCAAAAGGCGAGGACACCCCAGAAGAACGCGAATACAGATTCGATGACTGCCAGCGTCAGCATGAGCACGTCGTAGCTGCCAAGTGTGTCACGGACGTACCCTGTCAAGTAGAAACAAATGGAGAGGATTAGTCGGGTGGATAAGTGGTGAACGAATATCTTTCATGCCGTAGGATTGCAATCTTAAAGCTAGTTTGGTCCAGTCAAGTAGCGGTTAAGCCCATTTTACTATCTTGAGAATGTGTGAACTATGAACGCGAATACTTCCAGCTGCAGGGAGCGCTTTGACCAAATATGTTAGAAACAGCTCTGTGCTTACTTCGACAAATATCATCATTCTTGACTTTTCATTTAATTAAAATGAAGCATTATATTGCGCGGTGTGGCCACGGAAAAAATTCGACTTAATTTTTTTTCTGCAATGATTAGCTCAATTTTGTACACATCGCGCGTCTTCAACGATTGTCTTCAGTTATTGAGATAAACAATGAACAGTTTGCTTTTCTTCCCCATGGCTCACATAAACCGCTAGAGGGGTGACTGCTCGATCTCTCTACGCACTTCTAACGCTGACGTGGCGAAGGCTATAAATTATGTCCACAGTGAAAGCTAGGAGCTAATGAATTAATGGAAACCTGTATTAATTGAATGAAATGTGCGCTCGCCTATAGGTCACTGGCCTTGAGGCGAGAAGAGAATTGTGATTAATGGGAAGTAGTAAATTTCTTTTCGATAATTGAAACGAATTGATGAACCTTAGAGTTTCTGATGTAGCCTATTGCCGCGCGCGTAGCCGGCCGAGTAGGCAGTGCGGCTGTAGCTTTACGGTTATTGTGCCTCACGCGAAAAGCCAGGGTTCGATTCCTGGGAGTGACGGGTCTTTTATTTATTATTGGAATTTAGTTTTCTGGTAAATTTGATAATCTTCTTGCTTGTCCCACGCGGCTACAAAAGGCGCTCCGCGTGGCAAGTGGGCACGGCAGCTCTGTCAAGAACATATGCGGCTAAACCCGCTTCTATTCTTCATGCAGGTTGTGCTGCTGCGGCCCGGTGGTTTCTGCTGATTCGGTGGCTGCTCCAATCTTCGCACCGTCATCATCCAACGCCGTCCCACATCTACACCTGGTGGTCATCGCAGCCAGTGCACCGACGTTATCAACATCGACGGAACCAGCAGCTGTAAAGCCGAAGACGGACCAACGACCTACCAGTGGGCACGGCAGCTCTGTCAAGAACATGCGGCTAAACCCGCTTCTATTCTTCATACAGGTTGGTTGCTCGTAATCCTTGTACAAAAGCGGCGAACTTTGTTTAGTTGTGCTGCCGTGCCAAACAACTGTTTTTTCGTGCTTTGTTAATACCGTTGCGCTACTCTTGCAATTAAGCGGTGACATTGAAAGTAATCCCGGTCCTACAGTTGAAGAAATGTTGTCTCAAGTTTTGGAAAACCAGTCCCAAATGACCAAGGAACTTGCCGCTATAAATGAAAATCAAAAACGAGCGGAAGAAAAATTCACGGAAATTAACCAGAGGTTAGGGAGCTTCGAAGCTAAGTCGTCGGCCCTAGAAGCGACAGTAAAACATTTTTCTGACAATGAAGAACGGATCGTATCAATGGAAAGTGTAATGGCTGATTTGGTAGACAAGATTGACGACCTCGAAAATATGAGTCGCCGAAATAATCTTGTAATCTTTGTCGTGCCTGAGACCGATGACGAGACAGCTGAATCACTTCATGGCGTCGTAGTGAATCGACTGTTTTGTGATACGCTTGGTTTTCCGGTTGTAACCACAGAGAGAGTGCACCGCCTCGGGCGTCGAACGGATGGTAAAACTAGACCAGTCATGGTGAAGTTTGCAAATTTTTCAGAGAATATGTCAGTTTTGAGAAACTGCCCGAAACTGAAAGGATCGACGACCTCTATTTCAGAAGACGTTTCCTTACGTGTTCGAAATATTCGCAAACAGCTCTGGGACAGCGCTATCGAAAATCGTAAGAAAGGCGATAAGGTTACTCTAATCTACAACGAGCTAAAAATAAATAATACACTCTACATCTGGGACGCCGAAAAACAGACACGAATGGCACTGGGTCAGCCAAAACCCTCGCGACAAATATGACAGTCCAGGCGCAAGGCTACTGATTCGATTAGATTCTTAAATTAGAATGCGAGGAGCATAATGAATAAAGTTGTTGATATAGAACACGCGTTACTAACGCGCAAATCGCACATCACAGTCATCACAGAAACCTGGTTACACGAAGAAGTATCTGGTTCCGAAGTTATTCCCCCAGACTATAAAATAGTACGAAAAGACAGACACACGCGTGGTGGGGGCGTAGCCATTATTCTTACAAACAAATTGCACTATAACCGAATGCCAGGTATTGATGGCGTAGAAATATCATGGGTTCGTGTGAACATTTTTTCTACATCCCTTATCATCGGTGTTTTTTATGGACCACCTAGCAGCGGAAATGTTTTCGAAAAAATAAAAGATATCTTTCAGAGAATGTACACGCGAACTCTAGAGTTATTTTTGCTGGCGATTTTAATCTACCAGACATTGACTGGGTGAACAGTTGGTCTTCGTGCCAGATATCGCAAACACTATTAGAGCTATATTTCTGTCATAATCTAAATCAAATTGTACGCTCCCCCATAAGACTTTTTGGAGAAAAAGGCTCGATACTGGATTTGATATTTCTTTCCCAGAACTTGCTTGAACGAATACAGTGCATTGAAGTAGTGGAAGGCATTTCAGACCATCAGATGGTATTACTTACTTTGTCTTTAATGAATGAAACACGCAACACAGAAAGACGTAACGAATACTTGGACTTCTCTAAAGCTGATGACGTTGCTATTATTGACTCGTTAGCCTTCTGTTTTAGCGATTTTCTTAGTGCTTACGAAATGCCTGAGTACGACCTGAACTTTTTCTGGAACTTCTTCGAAAATGTCGCTTCTCGACTGCATCAACAAATTCATACCAAAAAGAGTAAAGATTGCCAAAAAAAAAAAAAAAATCCGTGGATTACTAGGGAAATTATCCAAATGCGCCGTAGACTCCGTAAGCGATCGAAGGATGAAAGCCACGTGAAGCAGTTGGACCATCAGCTTAAGGAAAACATTAGATAGGCGAAACATCGCTTCTTTAATGTGACCTTGTCTTCTTTTCTCCAGTCTTCGCCTGAGAAGTTTTGGAGGTTTATATCGCCCTCAAAGTCTAAGGTAAACGAGTTGCATATTGATCACGACATTCTGGACGACCCTAAGGGCATTGCTGATACTCTCAATAACTACTTCACGTCGGTCTTCAGCCTTGACAACAATCAAGGGTCAGTCCTGGCGGCTGTGCCGGGAAACAGTTCATATAGTAGAAATGCTTTGCCAAATATAACGATTTCTGAGGAGGGTATAGTGAATTATCTACTGAAAGTTGACATTAAAAAGGCAGCTGGGCCAGACAACATTCCTAATGCCTTTCTCAGGAGATACGTGGAATGGAGCGCCAAGTACTTGGTTTTGATATTTAGAAAATATCCGGAGACGTCCACGGTACCCTCCACATGGAAAGTCGCAAAGGTTATCCCAATTTTAAAGTCTGGTGACTCAAGATCAGTTTCCAATTATAGGCATATTTCTCCGCTTAGTACGTGCAGTAAGGTGTTGGAGCATGTGGTGTTTAAACACATATCGACGTATCTTGGACAAAATAATTTTTTTACTAGTTTTCAACATGGTTTTCGCCAAAAAGTATCTACCATTACCCAACTGCACAGAAACTGTGCAAGAATTTGCATCTGTGATTAATATAAGGGGGCAAACTGATGTGATTTACTTAGATTTTTTTAAAGCGTTCGATCGCGTATCGCACGAAAAGTTACTGATAAAGCTGTCACCAGTTTTAGATAATCCTGCTATCTTGAAGTGGCTTGAAAGTTACTTATCTCTGAGACAGCAGTTTGTTCAAGTTGACACCGCATGCTCCGGTACCACACACGTAACCTCTGGCGTCCCACCGGGATCGGTCCTGGGGCCTTTATTGTTTTTAATATTCGTGAAGGATATTGCTTCTAGAATTCCAGTAAAGATCCCATTGTTTGCGGATGATTGTGTTATTTTTAGAGAAATCAAAAGTTCTGCGGACTGTGAAGTACTAAACTCCTCGTTAGAAAAACTGTCTAGATGGTGTGATGACTGGAAAATGTCACCAAATTTATCAAAGACTGTATGTATGTCAATTACTCGAAAATGGGAGCCTATCACTTTTAATTATTTGATTGGGAACCGTAGCCTTGAGAGAGTAAGTTCATATAAATACCTGGGGTTGACAATAACGTCTGATCTTAAACGGAATGTTCATATCAATCAAACCGCTAGTAAAGCAATGCGTAAGCTGGGTTTCTTGCGTAGGTATATGAGGCAGGCCTCCTGGGATACAAAACTACTACTGTATAAAACTCGTGTTCGGCCAGTGCTGGAATAGGGAAGCGTCATTTGGGATCCGCATACCTTAACTTGTATTTCAGAACTTGAGCGAATTCAAAGACTAGCAGTGCGCTTTTGTGTATAGTATGTACTCCTCATATGTATCTCCTACAAAACTCTGTAATGACGCAGGCCTGGAAACTCTGCAGGAAAGAAGGAGAATAAATTCCGCCTTAAATTTCTTTACCTTATTGCCAATGACGAGCTTGGAATAGAGAAAGATAAATATATAACTTTTTTTTTTCCCCAGGTCTACCAGATATACACATAGCGAAACAATAAAGCCATATAAATATAAAAACGATACATTTAAGTTCTCCTTCTTTCCTCGTACAATCATCGATTGGAACAGTCTACCACCTGACGTTGTAAATGCTACCACATATTCCGATTTTTGTTTTCTGTTGTCGCAGCAAGTGCATCCTGCTTGAAAGTATTTCAATGTACCACTCCTGTTACGATCTCGCAAGAGATTGACAGTATCAATAAAGAAAGAAAGAAAGAAAGCCGAAGTCAGTCTCGCCCCAGCGCTCGATCCTGCGGTTTCGCTGACATCGACGCCCGCGACGCTCTGCTGTTTTCTTCTGTTCCCTTTTTTGTTTTGGGGACAAGTTCGCCCCATTAAACGTTTAGTTTCTTCAGTTATCGTCGCCTCATTAATTGTCATCCGTGACTATATCACGGAGCCCACTATTTACATTTTGTACTGCGCCTGTCCTTTTAGGATGGGTCTAGTCGTCAAAGTCGCCAAAAGAATCTAACGGAAAAAAATGTCGTTAGCGTTTATAGGCCTCAAAATAAGCTCATATATTTTTTTTCTGGTGTGTACCCAGAAATGTGATTAGCAGTCACCTGGACACTCGACAAATTTTGAGCACATAGACAGGTCTTACAGGTATCTTTTGTAATAGAAAGAAGACAACTAACTGAACCATGAAGTCGATTGAACAACCCAAACCCGAACATCTCTCACAAGCGATAAATTTCAATATTGACGGAACTGCCAGTGAAAAAGCGCATCCTCCGCCATTTGCCCGGATTTCGTGTGCCTCCAAGCAGTAGTCGCACCCCTGAATGGGCCTTTTGCACATAAAGTCGGCTTCATCGGCAGAAGCTTTAAGTGCGATCGGCGTGCGGAACGTTGCGCTATCCATCATGGCTCTCCCTCGATTAATTGAGTCGCGGAGGAAGCAGGAAGGTGTAGCCCAACTCCTCTTGCGGACACCGACCGTAGTTCGAACGATCGCCGCTGCGTGACCCTGGTCTGCACACGCGCAATACACTTCTTGAGAAAGGTTCATTCGTTGCCACGCTTCGCACGATGCGCGGACGTCTAATCTCGGCGATCCACGGTTGTACCGCAACGTAGACCAATGTTGTCAAACGCGAGTTCTCGCTTAGACCTTTTCCGCCGCCCCGCATTGCTCTCCGCAACGCGCTACGAGATTCGGAACTCTGCAGACAGGGCTAGCGGTGCGCCTGCGAAACTGCGGCGTCTTCAATGCGAAGAGCACAGCGGAGCTGGTGAGACCTCGTAAGAAAATTATTTTATGTGCCAATCGGCAATCGCGTGCACGGGTGTTGTCTGTTTCGAAAATGCGTTTTATGCACGAAGACAAGATTCACAAGATCAAGAAAACACTCGCTTCTGCTGGTTTGTTTGCGGGGTGAGTAGGCCGCCGAGCTGGGCTAACGCGTCTCAGCTCGGAGCGTGGAGCGAAAGCTTGCGCTGGGAACCTCCTGGGTTCAAGTCCCCGCCACCCCCGCCCGTTTCGATCTGGATGAGTTTCGTACCGGCACGCGTTCGTGTGATGACTACTGCGTGATGCACGTTAAGAATCCCAGGTTAGCGGTTGTACTGCACTGGCTAAATTTCTCATCTACAGCTAAGAGACCGATTACCCGTTGAGGCGCATCTCCATCAAGGCTGTATAAACATAAAGAGCAAACCAATTTCTGCGTGCGTTCAGTTCACCGCTGTTGACTCCACTTCCTCCGTTCATCCGATGAAGTGTGATGGAACGATGCTCCGCATCACCCCATGGTTCCCCTCGGGAAGATGGTGTAATTTTTTGTCTGCGGTCCCGCAGACTAGCTGGTCTCGAACCATAGAATCCTTCAGCTCACCTTGTTTGGGCCTCCAGTTGAACGTCGCGGAGGAACTGTTTGAAGCTCTCGCCATCTTGCTGGATGCCTCAATCGAAAGACGTACCTCTCCTTGCATATCGGGTTGCCGTAGTCCTCGAAGCTTTGACTATGGCGTTGTAACTCTCTCTGCGACTCTGTCCGTGAGAACGTATTGAAGACGTCTATCGCCTCCTGACCAGCAACGTGCATAAAAGCGGCTGTTTTTCGCGCTGACATCCTTCCTTTCTTCTCCGGCGAAATGACTGAAATGGAGCTCGGTTCGCGACCGGAACTTCTTACAGTTTTCTGCGGCGCCGTCTGACATCACTAGCCGCTCAAGAGGGGGCAGATGTTTTATCCAAGCGCTCTACTGATTACACTCCTGACACCATCTTTCAAAAAGGCGTTATACGCATAAAGACAATATTGACGAGATCGAGAAAACGTGCTTCGTTTAAAGGTCGGCCACGCGTCCACAGCGTGGCCAGCCATAGCCGCGACTTGCAGAGGCCCCCTGCCGGTGGTGTCACTCACCGATGATGGGCGCTCGTGCCAGAAACGGCACTGCGCACGACACGCTCATCAGTGCGAAGGCGACGGGCGTCTGCCGCTTCTTGAACGTCTCCGACAGCAGGACGAAGGGCAGGAAGCCGCGGCTGCCCTGGCCCCAGCCGATCATAAAGCCTGAAGCCACCAGCCAGAGATAGCTCGTCTTGAGCAGGGCCATGAGCACGAGCCCGGAGCCCTGAATGACGAAGCTGCTGAAGATCACCGTTTCTTTCGAAGTGATGCCGCTGTCCACGATGGGGGCCATGGACAGACTGGCGCCACCCCAGCCAACGGACATGGCCGTCATGATCATGGCGGCGTTGTAGTGGCTGAATCCGTTATCGTTGGCAAAGTCCACGATGGTTAATGTGTACGTGAAGATGGCGAAGCAGGCGACCGCGTTGGTCAAGCAGATGAAGAGAAATATGCACCGGAAGAACGGCCGCGCCTAGGAGGAGCAAGGTTACCTGTTACCGTGTAAACTCGGAATGTTTTAACATATGCAGCCGAATGGACCTTCTGCTAAATTACCCAAGCCTTCAGGGGGGATACACCTGCTCGTCACTCAATGGGCAAATTTCGCTAAGCAAACCTGAGTTTCAGGAATGCACCAGAGTATTGATTATTTTTGAGGTTCATTATAATGATCTCATAAAGTTTTGTGGGACCCTTGAATCTTCCCTTGAGAGCGCTGAATATTTTAGTAAAATCCAGAATTATTACCATTCTGACTGTTTCAAACAAATTTGGAGGCAATTTCGAAATTAAATTTTCTTAGATTATAAAAATCAGAAAACGAATGTTAGTAGGCACAGGACGGATCCTACCTTAATTTTAAGACTCTGACGGGAAGCTTAAATGTCTTGGTATTTGTTTATTCGTGTAAATAAATTTGACAGGGCAGTTTTCGCTAGATTTATTTTCAATGGGTTCAACGAGATGGTGACACCAGCACCAAATGAACCAAAGCCAGGGGATTTGTCGGTGTTGCTGTTTGTACAAGCTTGCACGGACGACGATTCGCGGCACGAGTCTTTTGCTTTACACCGCCGATTTTGGATTTGCCGTTTTGCTGGAGAATGGTCTTTGTGAGATTTTTGTCTGCTGCACCGGACAAAAAATAGGACCAATGAGAGGCGACGCATGCAGGGCGTAGTGACGCCATGGCAACGTGCTGTATCTGGCCGCCGCGCGACGAGCTTACGCTTTCAATTCGAGAGTGACCGCGGCCGATGCCACGACCTATGCAACCAATCTAGCGGTAAGAACGTGCCCCGTAAGCTCGCACTCCGCGAGTCCCTAGGTCACACCGAAGAGTCGCACGTGCTCATTCCCAGCGTTCTCATTGATGCTTGGGTAAGTTAGCAGTAGGTCTATTCTATACAAGAGACCCGTCACAAATAACCGCCACGAAGAAGTGCGACATCACGTGGCATCGTGACGTCATGTGTCATCATGATTTCACGTGACATTGTGAGGTCACGTGAGGTTCTGATGGCATGTGATGTCACGGTTTCACGTGACTGTGTCATTGTGATATTATGGGGCATTGTGACATCACGTGAAATCATGACGTCGTCTGACTTCACAGTCATGGGTCCTCGTGATGCCACGTGACGCCATACACACGTGCTTTCCGAAATAGACTACTTTCAAAAATCCCCGCATACAACACTCTTTGAGCTCTTTGGACCCCTTTGGGCATGGAGAGGTGTGGTATGGTCTCGATTCCGACTACCCAGTTGTAGACGAAGTAGTGCATCACGGCACTGCAGGAGAATAAAGTCAGCGCTCGGTCGCTTGCATCGCATCCATTCGTCTACGTGAGAGCCCCCATTGAAACACGCACATCCAGCGTCCGTAAAGACCTGCATTTAGCGAGGACTAGGAGTACGGCCGGCTGCGACCCATACCTTTCTGGCAGTCTAACTACGACTCGGGAGTGCAGCATGACCTTCCCTTTTCACGGATCATTCAACAGCCCTAGGAAATTAAGACGATGGAACAGGATCATTTGCACAGTACACTTCATATTCCTGTGTTTACCTGTGCACGTTTGGTACATCGAGAAACTCCCCCTGCCCCCCCCCCCCCCCCCCCCCAAGAAAAAAGAAAACGCGTTTCAGCATCTTATCCGTATTGGTAGTGAACAGCTTCAGCATTAAAAATTTAACGAAAGTCACATATTCGAAAATGCAAACGCTGGGTGATTTCCGATAATATCGACCAAAAGGTGGCTGGTCGACGTTTTTAAATCAACTGATGTTTTTATATGACATCCTCTAGTGTCTGTTATAAACAAATCCACACTTAGTTTGGACCAGAAAAAAAGTTTGCGGACAGGAAAAGCTCTAAGGCATGAAGAGGTGGACAGTCCCATTAACGAGCACTGATGGAGGGGGCACGTTTGAAAGTGAGCAATTAAAACGATAAAACTAGGAGAATTCTAATACTTTTTAGAAACAAACTATGGGTATAGCTTGCTTGTGATATATGGTAGTAATGTTTATTTAAATTATATTTCTTTTTCTAAATATTGCCAAACATGCCTGCTCGAATGACAAATGACAAAATTTGGAGGCCTGTACCTCATAAAATAATTTAATCACCATCTTAATATTTAAGATAGTAATCTACATATATAATGCTATTATTTAAGATACATATTAGGTATCTTAGTGATACGATAGTGGTGATATATTTAGGCAAACATAAAGAAAAATTTAAAAAAAAAACGAAAAATTCTGATACGAATAAAAAACAACACCACCTTCGATATTTTTTTCAAATTTGAGCACAGTGTCATACTCTATTTTGGCATTCATTTCTATTAAAAACATGTCGCATTGTTTGATTGAGAAAAAAGACGTAACTCCCCAAAGTAGGGTCTTTTTTCAATACCTACACTTGTCACTGCCCTATACGGGGAGAGACTCTGAGTTCGAGTTTCATGACACTTACACACATATTTTATATATTTTTATTCAGATAAGGCCATTGATAACTATAGTAATCGTTCACACATTAAAAGTGAGGAGAAACTAGTGTACACAAAGAGCCATCATATTACGGACTAGTGATCCGAGGAAAGGTCCTGCAGACATCGGCCACTGGGAACTTTGTTTACTTTATTGTCCTACGACACTATATGCTCCTCTCTCTTCCGCTCTATCTCCATCTTTCTCTCTATCTTATATATATCCCTGACTTACATCCAGAATAAAAACATATTCAAGCCTTCCCTTTCTGCGTGATAGTGTTCTGTGGCTAGCAACAATCATTTCCTCGCGAAGATCACGATTATGGCGCAATAGTTGACGGAAGTAGTAGACGACACTCCTCGCTAGTTCTGGCGAAGCGGCCGATTCAATCTTTTTTCGCATTTCCCCGCTTACTGTCAAGGATACGGGGATTCGCTTCAACCAGCAAAATATGGCCGCCGATAGCTGTTTACTGAGCAGTCGTGCCTATCGCCATCCCACTCGCTGGCGGCACGGGCGATAATATCGGGCACAAAGGGGCATACCGACAGACAGCAGAACCGCCAAATACTCGAGCCCCGCCTAAATACAATAGAGTGTAAACACTGTTGCCAAGTCAACCTTGGAAAGGTTAACATGGCGAAAGTGTTTACGCTCTAGGTAGGGGAACACATGGCGTGTGGTATGAGCCGGATCCTTACACGAGGTGCAAGGTGAGCACTGAGAACGAGTCTGCTGCCCTAGAGTGCTTCACGAAAGACGAGCTACAATGTTCGCGCCAAGGTCCCAACCGGAAGGACCTGATCTCTGTCATGCTCGACGGGGAGAAAACATTCGTGCCAAAGCACTTCCTGACACGCTCAATCCGAGAGGCCTTTCGTGTATACAAAGACAAGCATCCTGATTCCGGCGTTGGGCTAACGAAATTTTATTCTTTGCGCCCTAGATGGGTCAAATGTATTCCACACCAGGAAGTGTGCGTTTGTGTGCGCTGCGCCAATTATTACCTTTGTATTGCCGCTCTAGAGGACGTTGCAGGCTCAAGGAGGCGTGACCTGGGGGTCACGTGACCTTGGGGTGACCTTGGGGTGTCACGTGGGGGTCACCTTGGGGGTCACGTGACCTTGAGGTGAGCTTGGGAGGGGTCACGTGACCCTGTGGGGGTCACGTGACCTTGAGGTGACCTTGGGGGGTCACGTGACCTGGGGGCTAAGCTCGCCTTCGGCGGGAATCTCTCCGATGCGACATCACGAGGGAGGGGAGGATCTTCTTTCGACTCCGCCCCGGCGAGTTTCCCACTTCTCCTCTTACATTTCCGGCCTCCCCGACGGCGGCGAGTTCCCCAGCGCAGCTCCGATTTGTCCCTACGCTCCGCAGTGAAGGTTTTTTTTTTTTTTTTATTTAAATTGGGGGATTGGTGGCCGGCTGGGCTAGCGCACAGCAGCTCGAAGCACGTCGAGGGAAAGGTCCGTTGCAGAACCCAGGATCCTGAGTTCAATCCCCACCCCTACCCTTTTCGATGTTGATGAGCATCGTACCGGCGTGCAGTCGTGTATCATTACTGCGGGATGGACGTTAAAGACCCCAGGCTAGCGGTTGTACGGCACTGGCTAAATTCCTCGGAGAATCGCCCCCGTTGAGGCAGACCACGTTTTCGGCAGTATCAACATACATACAGCCGGATTTTCTTTATTTAAATCTAAAATGACAAATAAGAATAGGTAACAGCAGGGGTGCTAATTATACAAACATTGCTTGGATATGGCCTAGTTGACTAGACATTGTGATGGTTTGCTGCGCCACGTAGATGCAAGAAAAACGCACTTGATGAAGATTTAAACTAAAGCAGAGAACAGACGGAAAACAACATACAGGAATGGAGCCGACTAAAAACTGTAATTCTTTTCTCATCTTTCTCCCCCCACACCGCCACATAAACACACTGTTTTTTTTGTTTGTTTTTTTTTTTTGTTTTTTTTTTTGTTTTTTTTTTTTTGTTTTTTCAAGGTAGGGTGCACGTGGAGCGAAAGCTCGCGCTGCAGAACCCAGGATCGTGGAATCATCCCCACCACTGCCCGTGTCGATCTGGATGAGCATCGTAACGGCATG